ATGACCTGATTGTTCTCTGAAGCCATTAAATACAATAGATAAGACAATCTACCATACAGTAATGTGGCACTATGAATGCATGGCTTTATTATTCTCTGTACAACTTACAAGTAACAATGGAAGTAACCTAGCCAGAAGTAGTAATTTGTAGTGCTAGGTCCTTCAGGCTCGGACTACTGCTTAGTATTTGGTAGTACTGAGTACTGCAAGCCAAATTTTATGCAGAACTGTTGGGGTGAAATAAGTTCCCACAGGGAGATATGGCTTTAAGAGAGATAAATAAGTTCACATGGTACATCATTACATGACCATGATGACTACTTCGAGAACTCTAAGTCACTATTCCGTGTAACTTAGAGCCAACACTGTTTACATGGTGTCGTAACGCTAGCCTATGGGGCTTTGAAAAATGCTTTCCCAGGGTCAGGTAGTTGTACCTGAGGAAACCTCGGTTTGCGCTATTTACCCCTAAAGACCTTCATAATAAACTTTTACTTATATCGAACATCAGGGTTTAGGTGTATTTTGTAGAATTTAACCTAGGCTATTAGGCATGTCACTAAAATTTTGAAGTTTCTGTAACATGATGAAATTGCAGCTTTTGTGAAGCATCTTAATGAAATTAACACAGAACAGAAAGAATTTTTGAAGTACAACTTTTCGTTCTAGAGTTGATGATGAAAAAACTAATCCAAATCAATTGCGTTTTTCAGCCATTTAAAAAAAAGCCCAAAATGACAATGAATGAAAAAATTTGGTGTTTTTTCCAATTAAAAATTTACAAATATTTTGGCATTGTACACTTCAAATTTTGGCTTATCTTAAAGGGGACTTGGCACACACTATCAATCAATGGAAATGAGGTCTGTCACAGCTTCCAATTCTACATGAGCATATGGCAAAAATTGGAGTTTATGAAAAACCATCAACAGGAAAAACAAAAAAGTTGAAAAAGTGTCGGCTATAAAAATGTATACTGTCCAATAAACTTTTTGTCACTTGCTTCCACCAACTCCTGGGTAACCTCTTGAGTTGCCTTTCTTAAGTCCATTCCTTTGCATTCAAGTAATTTTCCATCTGAATGATGCGATTGGTCAATAATGAAGCCAACTCTTCCGACCCAGAAAGCTGTTCAACGTTGCGCTCAAACATGTCTTTGATCGCGGCAACCGGCGGTTCTGAATGAAATGAAAAAATGCCTGATTTCAGCGCGGTGTCTCGAAGTGTTTCTCTCAACATAATTTGGCAATCCATACATCATTCTGACGATCAACACATCTATTTTAACTTTCAACATTCAAAATGCCTAATTGTGCCACATTTTGTAAGAAAACATGGATGGTTTACCTGATCGGTGTTTACCACTTTGCGTCGCCATTTTGGAAAATTTGGAAGTCGTGGTGCATTTGCTGTGGTTTTAAGGAATCTGAAAATAGCCTTTCCAGGATCATAGGTCACATGGAACACAATGGAATCGTCCAAAGAAAATGATTATGGGGGAACAGTTTGCTTCGACACCATTCCAATGCGCGATGTTGCGCGTCACGCAGAGTGGTTCTGACAAAAAGTTTGTTTTTAAATCGTCCTACCTTCTTTATTCTAATTAAAAACAGGACAGTAAAGAGGAGGTTGTAAAGAATTTTTCTGTGTATTTCTATGGCATTTTACATGCTTTATGTTTTGACAAAGCTGCTCGGAAGTACACCCTCAATTTCACAACGGTCTGTGGTGTGTGTGTGGGTGCCGTGTGCGTGCTGAGTCGGCTGAAAATATTGATAGCCCATTTGACCTGCCTAATGTCACTGTCAAAAAGTGAGGTTTTTTCTACCACCTTACCTCTCATCCCTCGGCAATCCAAGCACATCTTTACAACTGTTTCTTTGCAAAATATCATCACCCCCGGAAGAACATATTTCTCAACATTTTAGACATGCGTAAACAGCTAACTTGACAACGCAGCGTCTCCGCCTCTCCTGCGTCCGAATTGGTCGAGTCATAATTTTATATAAAGTGATCGTTTTTTTTTTTTATCACAGTTTCAATTAATATCAGTTAATAGGACGGCTGTATTTTTGTGTATGTGTACATGTATACTGACTTTGGGTCTCTGAGAGATTTTTATGTTAGGATTTCTTAGCCTTCTGCATGCCGACCCATATTGTCACAGTGGTTTTGATGAACCCTCCTATGCAAAGATACAATCAGCACCAAGTTGCCCAACCAGTCATCAGTTGCCAATGACATTTAATGTCTGTGCACTGTAGAGGGAGAAGCAGAAGGAACTTTTGACTGGCCGTGACTGTTGCGGCAAAAGGAGATTAACCAAAGAAATGTAACTGAATAATTAAGTTATTGAGTAATACTGCAACCCAAACCCTGCCAGAGCTGCACAGATTTTTTACATGTTTTATGTGCCTGTTGGTGACATACTTTTCTGAAATTCCATCAGAATGCGTTACGTGGCCGCTTACCTGCTGGCCGTCTTGGGCGGCAATGAATCCCCCTCCGCCAATGACATCAAGAAGATCCTGGAGACTGTGGCCGTGGGAGTTGAGGATGAACCCCTGAACAGGGTTATCGAGCAACTGTCGGGCAAGAACATCGACGGACGTCATCGCCCAAGGTACTGAATCCGAGATTTCCTCACTTCAAATTTGGGTGGGATTATTTCATGTATTTGTACTGGCTGGCCCCTAGAAGTCTTCCAGCCTGTGTGTTTAGCCTTGTTGAACTGTTGATTTGCAGCTGTCCAACAGAAGTGTAGTGAATTGTCGGTCCGAAATTTCAGACTGTCCTCGTATGTTGGCAGAATGTTTGGAAATTGAGGTCAAATGAGTCTTGCATAAAGTACAATCAGACCGGAATTGGCAACATCAAACCTTGCCAGAGAAACTCTATTACTAGTAGTTCAGCAAGGTCTAACTTGGAACTTAAAACTGTGGCAAATGATTGCCCTGTAGGCGGAGTATCAAATCTTCAAAATAGTTCATTTTTCTAAGAATTTTTCTTTTCAAATACAAACCTTGTAAACGCTCCTTAAAACCCCTTTCAACTTTATTTTCAATTGTCACGTTTTCAGTCAAAAAGGGCATTTTGCCTCCTGTTTTATTTTTATGGTAATTGAAATTTGCATATACGTGTTATTTATGAGCAAAAATGTGATGTCACTTTGTGAGGAAACTTCATTGTTACAGCTGTTTAAAAGGAGTTCATATATTCATAAGAATTCATATCTAGGACCTTTCAGGCTAGCTGCTTTCCACAGAATTACTGAAAGCTATTTAACTCTGGACTAATGACATTGAAACTAGTCGTGTTCTGTGATGATCCAATTACAACACCATCTTTCGGCTGAGAAGCCATGATTATCTTTTTTGTTTCACTGAGAACACAAATGTTAACTGTCCAGCTAGAAAAGTTTGTTCCTATCTAAGGGGCACAAATTATGTGCGAAAAATAAGGTGACCAAGGTCTAAATTTGTGAATTTTTAAGTGTTTAAAAGCATTTGATAAACAGTATCCTCGATATATTTAGAATTGGTGTTTTTTGTTGACTCACTTCTGTGATTCCCAGGCCAAACCATGCTGGCCTCTGTGCCCACAGGGGGCGTGGCAGCCGCCGCTGGGGCCGGAGGAGGTGGGGAAGGAGCAGGAGCAGCCAGTGAGCAGAAAGAGGAGGAGGCCAAGAAAGAAGAGGAGGAAGAAGAGTCGGATGATGACATGGGCTTTGGTCTATTTGACTAGACCCCCCCCCAGACCCCGATCACTGCTACATCAGGCTGCTTAGGGACTTGACAACATTGGTCATGGCACCATTTCATTCACACGGCACAACGGCAAACTCAAAACTGTGCACCACATCCGGTACACGCCTGTTCATGGGACGCTCGCCTGAAACGGAGCTCTTTTTAAAAACCTCAATATCACTTTGGCCCTTTGTTTTTCAGATGGCTTTCCATATGTCTCCTTGCAAGCCGCACGGCCGATGCAGAGATCCTAGATAGATACATTTTTTTAACTTAAGTGATCAGAGTTGAAAAAAAACTGTAAAACTATCCACGCATGCTTACAAATGTGGCAGAAACATGAAAATAAAATCATTATGTGGTTTGAAGTACATAAAATTGAAGGTGTTGATTCATGTGGTGTGGTCTGATTTGTCCTTGTTATTTGTATTTTTGCCCAAATAACGTAATATGTGACAGGTACAGTACTGTACACAAATGGGCCGAAAGGGCCATTTCCACATAATAAGCCAGTTCATTTAAAAAAACCAAGGTCATTCAGGAACAAATCCTGTGCGCAAGTCGGCATGTGGCTGTGCTGATAGGATGGACTGTAGCTGGTCCGGAGGAGCTTCATTTTGGCCATGTGCTGTTGGAATGGCGAACTGGCTCGTTTTAACAAGCAGGTCTTATTTTCCTCGAACAGCTCCAAAAGAATATACAGGGAATAGTCACGGTATGTCAATAGATACTCATTTACTGTTAACCCAAACACTCCAGGGTGTTTGAAAAGTATGAGAAGATTCAGGAATGATTAAAAACTAGCATTGAGGAAACTTGTGCACGCAAAGACCACACACTAATCCAACTCACTAGACTAAATCATTGCGCGTGCTCCGCGTCAAATGTGCTTAAACTTGGTTAGTACTAAAGGACTGTTGATATCATTTCAAATCTGTGGACTACTCTCCAAGATTCAGATCCCTAAGAAACAAACGGGCCTGCTGAGTCTTCCTGTTTGCCTTTGGTTGAACCATAATTATGCATTATTCAACGAGACCCGTGAGGTATGTTTAAGCTCTGTCACGGCTTGATTTAGGCATTCGAAATTTGAATTCACATGTATAACGTATACACTCCAGTACTGACATGGTTGTAAACTTTGCTTTTTCCGGTAAAAGACAGAACCATTAAGATTTTAAGCATGTGTGCAATGTACATGTAATTAATACAAGAAGGGGGGGGAGGTCTAGGTATATTACCCTAGTTGTCACAGAAGTATCTCCAAGTCCATCTCGGACAAATTTATGGGATTTATCACTGATTTTTTTTTTATCCAAGCCAGTTTATTTCCTATATGTTTGTAAATAATCATCAAAGGTCATTATCTGCACGCAGGACTGTTACAATCATGGATCCAGTTCTTAAGTGTGACGTCACTGTAGTTTAAACCACGCCCACTGCACACGTGAACAGCACATAGGGTTTACATGGAACGTTGAACCGGAAGTTAACGCGCAACTTCAGCAATTGTGCAAATCGTGGTGGGTCTGCCTTTGTGATGAAGTCACTTGCGAACCGGATAGCGAAAAAACTAAGAAAAGTCAGGACCTTTAACCTTAACTTGGATAGGATAGACACGTTTCAATCCTAGATATAAGGCATTCTCTAGGATTGAAATGACTGTTTATCCTATCCCAGTTAAGGTTAACGGTAGGGTTATAGTTTCATTTAACTGCTCCAAATAAAATGTTCCTAACTGATGCGCCCCTCGGTTGTCCATGTATCTTGGTCCATTATGTTCACTCTACCCATTATTATGGAAAGAAATCCTCAGATTTATTCAATAGGTTCGGAGATTCATGTACAAGAAAAAATGCGGAGGTTTTCTACTAGCAAAAACTGCTCGGCCGAAATTATTCTTGCTCGTACACAGAACAGATGGACATGTGACAAGATGAGACACTGTAGACGAGTGATGGTTAGTCATGGCCTGCCTTATAGACAGTGGCGTATCAGGCAGGCGAGGGGAAGAGAGACGTCATTTGTCGGGGGGGTATTCTTTATGGATGAAAAAAGTTGGGCAATTAATGTTTTCAAAACAAAATCCCCAATTTCCCAAAATCCAAAATCTTGATGGGCAACATGTACATGATTCCTGGTTCCAGATAGACCCCACTGTGATCCACTTTTGTGTTCAATATTTTGACACCATTAAACTACCAAAATCCAGCCTACTGCATGTACATAATGTACATGTATTAGCAAAATTTTCTGCTTGCAGCATCAACCAGGTACACTCAGGACAACGATATGTTTACTTCACAAATTCATTCAATTACTGCACATGAATTGGCATGGCAGTAAAAAGTATGAGCGGGCATAAACATCGGTGCCATTTTTTCCTCAAATTCTCCGGAATTTGTCACTTCTTATCTTCAGAAAATGCTCTAACTTCATCACACTCACAGATACTGCCTTTTGATCTAAGCTGGTCCATTAACCCTGGTAGCTGAGCGCACTTCAGTCGCAAGAGGGCCTTCTTTGTGTGCGTTTCGAGTCGGTTCCCGTTTCTCACGTAGTCTCCAGACGTCTTCCATTTTTAAATACAGTGCTAGCTGGGGTCTGCTGCATGCTGGAACTACTGATGATGCACGTGTATTTGTGTCGCGACCCGTTGCGACGATGGAAGGCCACTGGGAAAGTCTTCCCGTTTCTCTCAGCAAAACAACTCATAAATCTCTTCAGCAGATGGGCTTTGATCGCATGACACCTGTACAGGTAACAGGTTTCTCAATATCTGACTGCTGAGAAACTGGAATTCAACTACTAGGCCTAAGTAATAAGCCAGGTCGGAGATAGCTTACAATCTGTCTCTTATCCGTCGCCACCACAGCCCTACTTCAAGGCTAGGCATGTCTTAAATGCCTGAAATCCAAACTGCAGGAATATCACAAACTTTGAATCCTAATATCTTCCGAAATAAGCATGACTCGACAATTTTACTTACACCGGCTTAGTTCTCAAAGTTTGGACTTTAATACCAGCCCCCTAAAGCTTTCCAAAATTGTAAATTTTCCGATGTATGGCGCCTTGAAAACCTGGCCTGTATTATTAAATGCTGACCACGGGCGGCGCCATTTTGAAAAACGAAGGCAGCGTTTCGTGCGTCAGAAATCAAGGCACTCGACAGGTTCCGTAGATACATAATTCATGTTGTCACAGTAGTGCTTAGTGTAAGTTGCGTGCGCACTTTGCTAGTATGCATGTGGAGCATGGTACACACATGCATACTAATGTTATTCAAATTTAATTTCACCGGTTCGTTGTTCGTCTGTCATGCAAGATGTGACGGGGTACCAGTTTTGTATGGTACAACGTATGCAGAGCGCAATTATTCCCACAAATAATTATATTGCCGAAAAAATTGTCGCCTACGTAAGCCTTATTACCGCTGGGTGATTGTGCACAAAGGTAGACAGGCATTGTGAGAAGGAAAAGGGAGCAAACATCGCCCCCTTTTCCTTCCCACAATGGCTTTCTACTATAAGGCTTATTTCTGGGCTTATTTGACCCCGAAAAACCCCATGTTCAGGGTTGCACCTGTGGAAGAGAGTTGTGTGTGTGTGTGTGTACGTCATTGTGAAATGGCTTGTACAATGTAAATGGGCTGCAGGTGGTGGCACAGGGTTTTTATGTGCGTGTGTCTCTTTATCTGAAAGTGAAAAGGTTAATTATTGAGCGTTGGAATATCAAACCTTTACTTGTTCGACATTGAATGTTGGATGATGAACTAACTTCACATTGTTTTTTTCTTATCACGTTCATGCATGTCGTGTTTTGAGTAACACTAACTTTACAGTACATGGTCAGGTTGGTGGAAGTGTGATCTGATCCATGCTCTTCTTCTTCCGAGAGATGCGCTAACTTCATATATTTGAAGACTCATGCACATTGAAATGAAAAGCAGTTACAGTCTTTAGAGGTGGGAGGAAAACCCCAGAGGAATATTCTGGGTAGAACCCGCAGAATCGAGTAGGGACTGAAACCCCAATCCGCATCTGGACTTAGCTGGGAATCAAACCCGGACCGCAGAGGTGGAAGGCAAGGAAAGTTATACCCAGCAAGAAATGAGACCGAGGGGTACCCCCCCCAACATGTCCAATCCCTATACACATTCCAGACTATTGTTACTTAACACATCCCCCAAGATGTCTGAAAGGAACTCCCCAGATTCCTGCGAGACAATGACCAACAGAAAGCAAGGGGGTTCTCTCCATCTCATACCTTGCTGCATATGAGGAAAGTACATGTACCACCATGCCAATCCGATTCCCCGGATCAACTCAGTAACTCACCACACTAGCCCAGTCACTGCCAGTAGGCTGCCTCATGTACATACATGTACCTGTGCTGTAGTGCAATTAAATTGGAATTTATGTAGAAGATAAAATGTAACATACATGTAATTTTTATGTCTAGAAACTTTAGTCTCTAGGCCTAATCATGAAATTGGTAAGAGTCCCATATACGGATATCACTTATTTTCCGTGTACAGTCGTTTAAGCCATCAGAAAGTAACAACGTGTCCTAAAAAGTCAAATTTAGCAGTGAAAATATTAAAGTATTTACTCAGAAAACACGTAGAATTTTTCAGACCAGTCTCATAGGACTTGTGCGCAGGGTGCCAAGTGATGTCTGTGTAGGGAACTCTTTCTATGAAATTGATCATGCAGTCTGTAAACATGTCTTTGCATGTAGCAGCATCTGACTTGGGGCAAGATTTTGAGAACCCCCTTTATTGAAGGGACTTGGCCATCCCATTTTTTACAAATTCGGTCAACATTGTCATAGGGTTGCATTACAAAAGAAGCGTATTAAATGTAACATTAAGATTCAGACAGCAGGCTCGACTACACTTTTACAGGGTTTGAAATTGTCTTGGTTTCAGGCAGCTGCGATTCCTCTCTTCATGAACAATAAGGATGTTGCAGCAGAAGCAGTGAGTACATTCACTTCACAGAGTCCCTGACCCACTTCAGACTGACCCACTTAAGACTGACCCATTTGCGGTTCTTGTTAAAGTCAATGTCTGTGTCAGATGCCATCAGATTTTAAATTTCATATTGTTTGTTTTGCCATTAACTGACGTATATTTGGAAACACTGTATACTCAATGTTAGCCGAGGGCTTACAAAAAAGTTGACAAGCTTTCATGGGTTGGGTGTGACCCCCCGACCTGCTCACTAGTATACTTAACTGCACTGCCACTCGACTGCTGAGTTTGCTGGGTTTAACTTGCATTTTCAAGATTGATAGGATGTGGGTATCACAAAGAAAGTTTTATAATAAGTACTTTGTTCATCAGGAAACTGTTAACTTTTTATATTGAGTGGAGTAAACTGTCGGACCTTTACAGATCATCAAGATATCATCAAGATAAATCCATGTTCATCAACAGAGTAAAAAAGGAAGGAAGGAGTTAGGAAGCAACAGTCTTTCAGTTGTCGCTGCTGACAACTTCAAGAAAATTACATTCTCAAACATTTTTGTCACAGGTGACTGGGAGTGGCAAGACATTGGCCTTTGTCATTCCCATCTTGGAGATCCTACTGAGGAGAGAAACACCGCTAAAGAAAAGAGAGGTGACTGAAAAGTTTTTCAGGGATTAAAAGCTTGAAGTTCAAAGGTTCCCCCAGGATGGCCACCGTATCTTTTCCCGAGAATATTTATGAAGAGTTATCCTCCCACCTCTGAAACTGAACATTTATTCATTGCCTTTTCTCCCAGGGGTCCTAGAGAGAACAGTACCTACATATAACTGAAGGGCTTTAAAGCATAAAGCAGGGTTCAACCTTTACGCTGGTCCGCTAGCCAAATGCAAGTAAAAACCGCGGCGGTCTAGCAAAAGCCCTCATCTGGGTAGTCTGGCGGTCTAGTAAACAATATTCTGAAATAAGCGGCGAAATAGTTGATTGCGATGCACGCCCTCTAGCTGCTGCTGGTTTTTCAACAAAATGAAATAGAACCTTCTACAACCAAGAATAGTTCGGGCCTTGGCACCAGCCCAGCAGAAGTAATACTGAAGTCTATGAATGCGGCGGCGGTAAATCGTCTGAAACTTCTGTTCCGCAACGCCTTTGCGGCGCGATCACGCATATGACGTGCTACGTGTGGCCGGTGCGACTCGACAACGCCATGACTTGACGTTGGTTCTGCTAACAAGATCTAAACCAGCACATGCTTTCATGCATTGCATCGTAGAGGTACACGGAAGTCATGAATACGCATCCCACGCCTATGACGTACCGAGTGTGTACACGCATTACGTTACTATGAATGTGCAGTACTGATTTCTCTGATTGGTCATTGGTAGTTGTGACACTAGCGATGTCACGGTTGTGATTTCGTGTTTGGTTCACACGCTACGGGTTGCACTACACCAAATACGCACCCGTAGAAAACATTGCAAAATCAGATCGAAATAGTGCTGCCTGTTGACTCTTGGAAAGAGGTTGGCCTCTATTTTAAGTTCACTGGAAATTCAGGATTGTGGCCAGAATATCATTTTTCGTTTCAATTTTATGGGGGTTAGCCACAAAAATTATTTTTATTTGCCTTTCCCCAAAGATACTTCCAAAATAGTAGTAAAACTATGCGCTCAGCTCTGAATGTAACCTCCGCCGCTTATGAAAGAAATACCCTGAACTGGAAATTATCAGTCCCAAATTTGGGATTTATCGAAATATTTCTATGATCCCTCCTGATTATGGCATGTCTTGTTGTAAAATCCCCGTGAGATCACCAAATATTAATGAGCTCACACACAGAAAAATACAACCATTTGGTGGAATGCACCCCACAGGTACTGGACCCAGTTGAGAACGAACATGTACTGTATGTACATTGCGCCGGGCGTCTGAACGTTTTTCAAATTAAACGTAAATTCCCAACCTTAAATTAGATACTCGAACGAGTAGGGTTTAGTAATTTGGATTTGTAACTATTTTTGTCCAGGTTGGCGCAATCATTTTAACCCCTACCAGGGAGTTGGCCCTACAGATCGATGAAGTCCTGTCAGATTTTACCACCTTCCTGCCCCAGTTAACCCAGCAGTTGGTAATTGGTGGCAGCAACCTTGCCAACGACATCAAGCAGATACAGGACAAAGGGTGAGATGGGGAACTTTTTATCCAAACCGTGGCTGTTTCTGAAAGAAGGTCACCTGGTCTGAAGAGGCATATTCAGCTCCAGTCCAGTCACTCCGTAGGCATTTGTGCTTGGAGTGTGTTTAAAAATCCTTGCGGCTTCACCACTCTCCTGGATCCCAGTGGCACTTTCTGTGTATTTTAACTTCACAAGAGAGCAAGTCAAGAGAGTCAAGTATTCTTTATTAATTGATAATTTGAAAACGGAAATTTCAGAGTCTGCATCAGAGAACGGTTACAAAAATGCAATTTACATGTACACCAGTACAAGACACATGCTAAAAGTATTCAATTATGCAGTCTGGGAAAAATCCAGCAGTCAAAAAAGTGCAGTGATTAATGTAGGTAAGCTCACCTAAGTCATATGCAGAATGTCCATTCTTCACTGTTACAGTCTGGCAGACACAGTCTGTCAGTAAAACACTTATTTGTAGAGTAAACGACACAACAAATCCAGAAGACGGGAAAAAACTCACAAAAATTTGGCATCTAAGACGAAGGTCAGAGGTCACGTGAACTCGATTTTGCTATAGGAGATCGAATTCCGATCTCAGTGGATGACTTGTCATTTTAAGATTACCTTAATTCTGTCAGTCGTCAATCTATTCTGGCTTAAGCCATATTATCTTGTCCCCCCGCCCCCAAAACCTCGCCCTCTTCATTGACTTTATAAAGTGTTTTTGACAAGAGTGTCAAGTGCCATACAAAGTGATAGTGACTGGGTTCTACCTTCCCCAATCCTCCAGAATTTTCCTGAATCTTGTGGCTGATTTATAGTTTGCACAGACACCAGTGCTATGAGGTGGTTGATATAATGGAAACACTCTATAAGCATTGTCACTGTTATTGTCAATTTGCTTGGTTACTGTGAATCCCGTCATGGAGTTTGGTTCTTGATTGCCTCCAGGACCCCTGCACAGTTTGTATGTATCCACAGACAGGATTTGGGATTCTTACAGTGGAGGTTTGAATGCTGTGCTGGGGGGAGTCACTTTACCCTCACTTGCGTAGCTGTCCATCCCAAGAGGCATCAAGGGTTATTGTGCTTGATTAAACCGACATCACCTGAAATGGTTGCACCGATGGTTGTCCAGTGAATCAAGATGGTTTGTAGGGTTGTTTTTAGCCCCAATAAGCAAGGATTATATGATGTAAAATGGACTGAGAGTGTCTCAGTACCAGAAAGCACTATATGAGTACGTGCATGTCTTTCCATCTTAGTTATTGTGTTTTTTTTCTTTCCACCATAGGGCCAACATTATTGTCGCCACCCCCGGTCGCTTAGAGGATCTCTTCCAGCGCAAGGACTTTGGGCTGAATCTTCCAGCAATGGTCAGATCCCTGGAGGTTCTTGTACTGGATGAGGCTGATAGGCTTCTGGACATGGGCTTTAAAACAAGGTGTGTGAATGTGTCTGGTCATTTTCCCCACCCCTGTGTAGTTGAATATGTCACAAGCATTTTAAACAAGTACTTTTACTCAGTGTCACAGCGTTCTCCGCAAGTTCCTTTATTGGTAGTACAGGCTTTGCATGGTAGCCATCTTTCGGGGCAGTGCAATTGCTCAACTAGGAAACCTCCTGTGTGTATATCTTGTGGAACACAAACACTTGCCTTGAAGATGGCAGCCATGCAAAACCCTCAGTAGCAGGTGAACAAGGACACATTTAACTCTGCTTCTGGTTAAGTGGCTTGCTCAAGAACTTAAGTATTGATTGTCTGTGTGGGTTGAGCCCCACTGTCTGTGTGTTCCATGTTTTGAGTTAGAAAGGAGGCTTTAGTTTGTCCATATTTTGAAATTTACTTTTTCATTCAGTATTAATATGATTTTGAGCTACCTACCCAAGCAGCGACGGACAGGTCTTTTCTCGGCAACGCAGACTGATGAGGTTGAAGCGTTGATCCGGGCTGGTCTGAGAAATCCAGTGCGCATCACAGTGAAGGAGAAAAAGACATCGGCCAATGTGAGTCAGATACGCATCTCTTTGAGACTCCCTGAGATTGTTAAGCCTTTGTAAGTAAGGCAGTGAAATTTTGCTTTGAAAAGTCTTAAATGAAATTCCTCAAGACATGTGGCTGCGTTTATATCAGGTCTTGTTTCCAACACTTTTGCATGCACTTGTTTGAAACACTGCATCCAGGCACCAGTCTACTCTGACTCTGTCATCACAGTTTGAATTTTGACTATGTGGGCCAGGTAGTACCAGTGAATTAACCCTAACCCCTAGGGACCATTGAAATCATGCATATGCTTGTTGGATTCGGAACGGGTAGGATTAAAGATCGTGAAATTCGTAATGTGATTCTTAAATCTCTTCATGTAAAATTTCAGATATGAAAACTTAGCCCAAAGAGAACTCACTCAAGTTGAGGATACTACTTTTTGCTCTCAGTTTAATGCCGGAACTAACAGCTGTTTTGTATCTTTTGTAGGTCATACAAAAAACACCCATGACATTGAAAAATTACTATCTGGTAAGTGCCGTGTTCTGTCAAAACTAGATGTCTTTTGGCATCTATGAGGTATAGATTGAGATTGATTCCTTTTTGCAAAATGGCAAAATTATTTCAAGTTGAATTTCTTGATGACTTTGATGGAGTGAAAACATTTTCTTTGTCAAATGGCCAGTTCTTGGTTCTGTTTGAAAAGGAGAAACTGCGCAAGCCGTTATCTGGATAATAATCCTACATGCAATCTGGAATGAAGGCATGCAACCCCCCTCCCAAATTGAAAATCATTTGGGCAATGGGTAATGAATTGAAAGCATGGAGTGCTCATTTGCCTTGTGTTTTATCAGTGTGCCTTTCCGTCATTGCAGATATGTGAGAGCGACGAGAAATTCAATTTGTTGATAGCGTTCCTGCGGAAACACAGGGTAAGTTTTCTTGTGTGACTCATGAGGCCAAAGAGAGAAGCAGCAGAGAGTCAATGAAATGTTGTCAGCATTATGGAGTGAATTGGGTTCTCAATATTGAGGATTTATTCAGACAAGTTGTATGCATGATAAAAGGCTACCCAAATCCTACAGTGTTCTTGGCACCATATCTCCACCTATTTTGTCAGGAATAAAGTCCTATCTTTAATGCACAGTGGTGTGGTTCCACCTTCCTCTATCTGTTAGAAACCTACCAGTGGATTTTTGAAGGATCTGATATTGTTCGAGTTCCACTACTGTAAAAACCTTTGGTTATCGCTGAGTGGATTTTGGATAAGCTTGTGGTATCCTTATGAAATTTCCTCGGAAAGGCCACCACAGTGGCATCAATCAGTCTTTGAGACAAAATAAGGAAGCTGGTATTTTGTCAGAATATAGATTACTTACTTTCATGCGTAATCTCTCCTTAAAAGTTCAAAGTTCGCCCTATTCAATTCATGGTAGTGTTGTGCCAACTGTCTTACAAGTCGTCTCGCCAACGTTTAGAAGTCCACTGCATTTCTTGATTGGTTCTCGCAGGAGGAGAAGCACATGATTTTCTTCAGCACCTGTCACTGTGTGGACTACTTCTCCAAGGCGCTGAGAGAGATCCTGAAGAAGACGACGGTGCTCTCCCTGCATGGGAAGATGAAGCGGAGGCGGAATGCTGTCTTCTCGGAGTTCAGGAAGCTCAACAGGTGGGAAGATGATGTGCCCGATTGTCATAGCAAAGTGATGCAAATTCATCGTAGCACAGTGATGCACATTTGTCAATATTGATTGGTTGGTTGTATTTTGACCGTCAAGCATAATGTAAGTAATGTGGAAACCGATTGTTAATCCTTGTACTGATTTTCCCATCTATTTCCCAGTGGTGTGCTTGTTTGTACCGACGTCATGGCCAGAGGAGTTGACATTCCTGAGGTCCATTGGGTGCTGCAGTATGACCCACCAAGTAATGCAAGGTACATAGTTCAAAGTTGGTATATAAATTATTTCTGCGGCCAGCTGTCCAGTTTTTTAATCAGGCGTAGCAGCAGGTGCCGCAGTGAGTGGCTGTCAATGAAATTTTGCATCAGACCGATCTCCCAGATGCAAACTTCCACCAACAGCTGTTGATTGCCGTCTGAAAAAGCTGCGTTCCTGACATGTTTGTCCAAATAGAATGGACTGCTCTATCATGAGTACACGCATGCGTAACAAATGCCCTTTGTACTCCTGGGCTGTCTCCAAGTAGATCAGAATGCATTTTTACAAGAACATTTAACAGAACAGTTTCCCAGAATACATTTCTCATGTAAAGCAATCTCATGGGAGCAAACCGAAACTGTAAACAGCACTCAGAGCCGCTGATGAAAAAGACAAACGTCTCTAAATACCTCCACTGGAACATACAGCTATGGTATGTAAGTTTTTGCTGATAAAAAATATGGCATATTTGTTTTTTCTGATGAAAAAATGAAGATGGTGAAGTAAAATACCTACATGTATCTTTTGACTCCTGTTGAAAATGTTGACATCAGTGCCTTTGTCCACCGCTGTGGAAGGACAGCCAGGATAGGCAATACCGGTAACGCTCTGGTCTTTCTGCTGCCCACGGAAGATGCCTACGTGGACTTCATTCAGCTTAATCAAAAGGTAAATCTCACCTCCCCCCTCCAAGGTGAAGTGCATCCTCTACAGTTGGCAGAAATTTTTCATCTGGGCTCATGCATGCACGAAGACTCTACCGTCAGACAGAAATCAGTACTATGTACGTAGTGCATCCTGTGCCAGGCACCGATTTTGCTACATGAATGCGCGCGCGCCCTCACTTGTTCACGCTCAGAGCAGATAGCGTGTCTGAACAGGGAACAGTTGGCTGACCAGCTCTGTAGCTTGCGCGTTTACATGAAGATTGCAGTGTGTGAATGTTGCCAGTCCAAAAGGTCATCATGCAACTCATACTCCTGGCTTCTACCTGAACATTACGATATGCACAGCCTACTGACAACCAGCCACATAGCCAATCTTGGTAGGCTGCACTGGAATACAGACGATTCATAATACTGTGCTCCACGAAGAGTTTGTCATGGAGAGGTTTAAACAAATGGCTGACTTGCCGCAATTTGCATTTAAGCGAATATCAGTTGACAATTTGAGGAAAGCTGTGATTGATTGGGTTATTCTGTGCCTCTCTAAAAGCATTTTTTAAATGTTAGTTAACACCAATACTCTGTACACTTCTGAATCGTCAACTCAGGAAAAACTCCAAAACAATTTTAAGGTCCCCGTGCACAGCTCTGCCGGCACAAAGAACTTTTGTCAGCCCTTTTCCCACAGTGCAACGCAAAAAAACCGCTTCTCCATGCCATCCTCTTGGTGTGGCACGGCATTTGAATCGCTGGTATTGTAGACTTGTCCAACCATCATCAACTACCATACCTTCCATCAGTGCCAGTCAAGTTAATGTTGGCTGTGGTTCTTGATCCACCAGGCTCTAAGCTGTGCTTGTGTGAAATGGATTCTGCAAGAACTAAACCTGCTAGACACTTTGAAACAGTTTTATTGGCCTGAAATTAAGTTTTCATAGGCAACCCAAAGTAACCTTTCATAACTGCATGAGTAATGTTGAATGTGCAGTAGATATGATATTGGAAGGTAGCTTGTGCTGGTTTTCCATGACGATCTCAGTAATGACTTCATGAATTTGGTTGTCTGTAGACTCCGCTTCAGAGATATCCCATTCACGAGGAAGTAGAGAAGATAGACGTCCTGCCAAGGCTGAGAAAGATAGCACAGAAGGATAGGTAAGGATGTCACAGTTGAATGAGAATTGCACTACATTCAAAACCTCAGACTGCTTGTCCATGTCGGCATTGCCGAGTCTGAGCTGAGCCATGTAACCTAAGTCTTGCTTTTTGTAGTTACGAACAAAAAATCCATTCATTTGTTTTAATAGCTTTTCAGGCCCCTGAAATTTTGATGAAGTTTTTTTTTCGTCGTAATATTCTTAATCTCTGTTTTGTGTCACACAGGGCAATGTTTGAAGGAGGGACCCGGGCATTTGTGTCATTTGTGCAGGCCTATTCCAAACACGAATGCAGTTTAATCTTCAGGTTAAAAGGTACATCATTTCTCCTGGAGCTCCCCTAAGATTTTGGTTTTTGAGTTGTTCATCCTTGATATGACCATAGAGGAAGGACACAGAAGGAGTTTGAACTGCCCGGGCTGTAACGTTTGGCCAATTACCGCTTTCTGGCATGCCTGGTATGTCCATAGCCAGAGCGCAGCGAAAGCTTGCTACGCACCATCTGTTATTTTGTCATTTTGCTACACACAATTTGTCATTGGTGATCTGCATCCTTAAAACTTTGTGTACTGAGGTATAGGAAACTGAATATTCATGCCTTTGTTGGTGCTTGGTATGATCTCATGACAACATCAAATTCAATGCTTGCACAGTTGCTTGCATTATGCTGTGTGCCCTAAATCTATATGTGTAGTCATTGCCCTTAATGAGCTCTTTCTTCTGGAGTTATTTTGGGAATAAATAGCCACATTGTTTACAATATTATGTGCTTTGGTTGAATCATTTTTATTCTGGCATTTTTACAAAAGCATATTTTATGAGATTTTATGATCACTCCCTGTGATGAAATAGCGCGTTTTGTTCTTATTGAACTAAGCTTTCCAGTAGTAATGAACATTTTGTTGGCCAGTCTTAGCCAAATTCGTACCAAGTCTTTGAACACTGATGTATTGGAGGGAGGAGAATAAAATTACAAACTTTGCATGGATAATGGAACAGTGTATCAAAATTTAAAAAGTTTATATACGATGGCAAAAGTAGGTCTAATATCAGGGATTTTTCTCTCTATATTTCCTAGTCACAGCGATAATTTGTGTTTAATTGCAAAAGTTATATGTATTGCTAGGATATTACTGGCCCCGTTTGTCCGGCTAAGGTGCAGGCAGTAATCAGGCATTTTTGGAATGTTTTTATTATTTGTCTGACTCAGTGGCGACCATCATTGCACACTTTGAAGTGCCTGAGTTGCCAACTCCTTCTGTGTCCTCTTCCTCTTTGGTATTATATGTACATGCTATTTGAGGCTGGGTTTAACTTCGCTTTTGATCATTCCTGAGACCTCACACAGATGTGATGAAATGTTATAAGTTTAAGCTCAAGTCTTCAGGCAGTTTTGAGGAATCTCTCCAACTCTGACAGCGCGTGCAGCAATCCAGTTCCACCGTCCATTGTATTCTCTGTTAGAAAATGTAACCGTAAGATGCCAACTTGAAATTTGAGGTTCCAAAGTTTTTCCTTCCAAAATTGGTATGGAATTTCTTTTTGGGTTCATCTGTTTCTGTCCGCTTGAGTAGTGATTTTTGCCGTACGCAAAGTTTGGAGTCAGATGAGTGAGGTTTAACTGGACAACCCCCTGGCCAAAAGAAAAATGTTAAAACAGACAGAGGATTTTGTCCTCCCAGAAGTTTTTCCATAGCTGTTCAACAGAGAACAAAAAATGTTAACATGTAAAGCCTGAAGCAAGGGGCGTACACAAAGCCTTTTTCTACAGCATAAAGACTCTTCAAGCTTCCTGTGTGCATATTTCATTCATAGATCTCGACTTTGCTCGGTTGGCCAGGGGCTTTGCCCTACTGCGCATGCCCAAGATGCCGGAACTCAAGGGCAAGACTTTCCCCGACTTCCAGACACTAGACGTTGACTACAGTGCCATCCCCTACAGGCAAGATGTACAGTACATCTCTTTTGAATGCCCGACTGTGTTACTGCATTTCGGTCGATCTTCATGGGCAGCTTTTCCTATTTTTCCCTCATTACCTTTCTCTGCCTTTCTCGCATCCCATTGTAAACCCTACACACCACTTTCCCTCCCAAATGTTCAAGCTAGATTTTTTTTTTTTTCAGTGCTTGTCCAAACAAGACTTCAAGTCATATTTTAAACCGTCTAATGTTGTCAGAGAATTTTGCTGATAAGGGGCCCTGCATTTTTCTCATCATTTTCACAAGTTTACCAAGAGTGCCTCGTTTTGGATATCCCCATATCAGAGGATATATGTGCATAAATGCATATCTCTCCTCATGTATGAATTTATGATCGTCAAAATGGCCGAAGTTTCAGCAGCAGTATGCATACTGCACAGCACTATGAACTGTCTGAACACGCACCTCATGTGAGTCGATTTTGTGCGTACTGCACCGTGCACAATATACGGGCGGTTAGCCTGCCAACTACATCACACAGCCTTGAATTCAAGACAACCATGTCAGTCAGTGGATCTCAATCGCAGTGATTTTGTGAACAGGAATATTGTACATCTGTGAACCTAGTACATCATGCTCGTGTTTTGCCAGACGAGCTGTCAATCGATGTCTGCAGCGCAACTGTGCGCTGTTTGGAGTAAAAAAAAATCTCCTCTGTCATGCTACAGATTTTGTCAAACTATGGAAAAATTGACAATTTTAGAAAGAACGGACAACTTAAAAGCCACTGAATCAGGACGGAAAGTAAGTGGAACCGGATACAGTTGTAAGAGAAGAAAACCTCGGTCGTTATGCGCTCCATTCTCTATGCTCAGTCATGCACTTTGATGCCATTTGCCACGATTAAAAAGTTCCCTTTTTTGCAGACCCTGCAGCATCTCTAAAATGGATCACAAATTTGTCAAGATAGCATTTGTTGGGTGGTGGTAGCAGGTTGAGTCTTGAGACTTGCAACAAGCGAGATGTTATCCATATTTATATTATTATTATATAATTTATTTCACATTCCCATCACAGCCCAGGGACTGAATTGAGGGCATGTTAACACAATAATAGTGTAGATTAAGATTACAATTTAAAACATTAAGAAAAAGATAAAAAAAGGATACGAAATATACTGAAATGTAAACCCCTCCACGCCAGGATTCTTTTGACCGTGACTGCTCAGCTGCAGTATGCCCAGTATTCAAAGCTCTGTCCAGCAGCAGGCCCACATTGAAACCGCAGGTGCATGATGAATAGAATGTATGTGTTGTATGCACTAATCCACTCACAAAGCTGCGGCTGTGGACGGTTCCTGGGATGAAGGGGTGAACAGATTAACTACATTTTGACGTTATAAATGTTTACCAAAAAATGAAGAAAATTACACAACTGTATGTTTAAAATTACTGTATATACATGTATAATTGAAAATAAAGGCACATAAAGAATACACCAAGTCTTAAAAGATTAGAAGCAGTTCTCGTTCAGTAGGCTAATTAAAAAGGAATTACACTGTTCTTGCATCTTGTCATTCAGTACCTGGGAATAGACGGCTTGTTTGCATTACGCAAAATATTGGACCTCGCAGAAGGAAGCCAGTCACGATGAGAGCCGAGAAGATTTTTGCTAAATTTATGTGAACTAGTCATGAAAGAACCAGTTCAGATTAGTCACTGCTCTGTGTATGTTATATAACATATCCACGCTTGCACTTACAGACTGCACAAAAGCGTTTGATATGGTGAACCATATCTTGTGTAAGCTTAATTCAGCCTGCGGGCTTCTATGGACAGTCAAACCAGAAATGATAATAATAATAATATGAAACTTTAAATCTTTGGTGTTTCAGGGAAAAAGCTAGAGAGAAGCAGAGACAAACTAACATGAAGCGGGTACAAGATGGCGGAGGTACCTCCAGGAAGAAAGGACCAAAGGTTGGAAAAATGTTGGGCAGAAAATACAACTAACAAAACAAAAATCAGGCAAGAGATATTTCATAGCTATTGAGACAATGGCTTGAGGCGGTACCACAAGAGAGTAAACACTTTTCCCTGTTAGTTTGCCAGACTTCCCGCCAATTTTCCGAATGCTTTCTTTGAATGCAAATTTTTAAGTTGACAGAACTAGTTTCTTTTTTGCATCTGACAAGATTATTTTGTACAGGCCTTTCCTTGTCATTTGAAGCAAGATATGGGACGGAGAGAACCCCCCGCCTTTGTGTTGGTCACTGTTTGATTGGAATCTCAGGAATTCTTTACAGACTTCTAGGGGGATGTGTTAGGTAACAATAGTCTACAGTGTGTATAGGGATTGAACAGGTAAGGGTGTTACCCCTCCATCCCATATCTTGCCTGGTATATTAAGTAGTTCCACTGTTAAGGGTCAGCTGTTGCAAACACTTTGAAACAGTCTGATATCTGCATGTCTGTTTCACAGACTGTCGGTTCAAATTTCAGCTCAGTTAATGTACTCAATGAACAAAATGATTATTTTCTGTTACAAGATATTATTTTTTCTTTTTTCCCCTCATGTTTGGGAGCAGAGAAAACTTCAGCCATGGTCGAAGAAACAGGAAATAAAGGAGAAGAGACAGGACAGGAGGCAGAGAAAAGAGCACGCCAAGAAGAAGAAGAGACAGGTGAGGGAGGCCGGGACTAGATGCAGATAAATTAAGGACAAGTTGGAGTGATAATCACTTTTCCCACCAGTACAAAATGTATCCCGGATACCACACAAAATTGACCAGTGGTTGAGAAATGGTCGTCTTTCCAGCTTGTTCAAGACTATTGACAGGGTGGACATTGACCAGAGGAAGAAGAAACTTTGGCAAGTCCTGTTGAGAATAATGTTACAATTTTTCAAGTGTACAGACATTTTTGAAAGGGTCTTTTGGCATTTTTCAGCATGCTTTATGCTGTGAATTAAAGTTCCAGAGTCATACATAAACATGTTTGACCAAAAGTTACATCTCTGTCAGCATAAAAAATGTCACTACCAAGAAAACAGTGAGGATTCCTCAGAGAGGATTTAGATGATTATGTTTCTCTTGCTTTTTCAGCTTGAGGAAGAGGACTTAAATGAGCTGATGCAGGATGCAAGACTGGTCAAGAAACTTAAAACTGGAAAGGTGAGGAAAAAATCCTTTTTTAAAATCTGCAGCATTGAGTAGTTTTGAGTGAGTTAGGCAGCATGTTTAACCACTTGCTGCCGGGGAACCCGGTTTTGAGCACCATGGGTTTATATGCAGAGCCGGGGTGCCCGAAATGGGACAAAAGAGCTAATCCGTGTAACAAAAGACAGTACTCGGAATTGCCATCATTTTTCGTTTTGCATTTTTCAAAGGTAATCCGTCACTGTTTTTAAACAGTATACCACTGTTTTGGGCATAGCACGCCCTTGGATTAGCACCGCGGATAAAAGTGCTCCAGGGCCCCATTGACGAGCAACACAGCACTGCTGCACACTAATCCAGCCACGTTTGAATAGATGCCACTCGCATTCACTTGGAACAAAAATTACGCAACACTCACAATTCTGGGCTCTCTTTACAGGGTGGCAGGCCTGGCTGAAATACTCGGGAGTCAATGAAGGTTGCCTATCAGCTTAGAGTAGCCACTAAACAGTCCTTTGTGTGGGTGTAAAGGTCCATTAAATGAAATGATGAATTTTTAAAGAAATTTTGAAAACTGAAAATCTCTCGTATGTGTGCACTGCATGTTTAAAAGCAGCCGGCAGCAAGTGGTTAAAGCTTTTAAAAATCTTGGATTCGTTCGTTCTCATTACCATTACAGAGTACTGGGATAAGTTAACTTTCATTTTTTTTGGGGGGGGGGTGTTACGTAATTATTTCAAACCCTCATTGGATGGAACACTGGTTAACACTTTGTGTGCACACTGAATATATGTACCATGATTATTATGCCGCAAGCAACCCACAAGTGAAAACTTTTGATGGTGTTGAGATGGTTATGTCGGTTTTAAAAGCAGATCCTGCAAGATGTAATCGGGTATCCTGGGCCTGAACACTATTTATATAATTTAGTTTGGCTTGGGGCCATTTCCCATTTCTGTACGGTTGAAAACTGCGACACAGTTGTGCGCTGCCACCACCAGACTGTTCGAATCAGGGCTTAGTGTGATGCCCCACGGAAAGCCACAAGTGTCAAGGATCTGACCCTGGAACTCGCCTTCCGAACTGAAGCGCTGGACTTCGCTGTAGGACCACCCATTCACGGCGACGTAGATACAGCCGTCATGGTCACAGCACACACCGGTGGGCCCCCAGTCACTATCAATGTCACTGATGATGTCCACGGAGAATGCAGCGGCTCCATCATAGTCCACTGCGCGTAGCATTCGATAACCGTGATTTGTGTAGATGAGCCGCCTTTTGTAGATAGTCAGGTGCTCGCCAATCATCGGAGCAGGCAATTTCTTGATTAGGGTTCCATCGGTCTCATGTAGGCAGACCTTTTCATTGTACTTGTATCCCACAGCGATCCGACCATCTCCATCCACTGCCAGGCATGTCAGCTTGCTGTTCACTCCCCCATCTGGCATGAACTGATCAAGCAGTTCACCCTCTCTGCTGAAGATTTTGACTGTGGGGCCATCAAGAATGATCAGCTGGTCCTGCATGGTCCGCGACACGTGACTTGGATCAGTAAGATCTGGGATGGGAGTTGCCTGCTGCAATGAAGCTGACTGGGAAGGCCAGCAGAAACACTTGATCAGCTGCTGGAGCTTGATATCCACAATGACTATTTCGTGACTCGACAATGCCGTCACATCATAAGCACATTGGAACTTTGTCTTTTGCACTCCGAATTTCTTGATTTGGGTCTCCAGCTTCCAGTGTTCTTCCCCTGCGATTTTGTGTGGCTGGAGTAACCCCCCTGCTTGGAAAGCCTGGTACTCTGATCCAGGTCTCGACTCCTCTTCCAGGATCAGTTTCCCGAGCACACCTTCCAGTTCCTTAAAGTCCACAAAGTGCGGCTCGTCTGGTGCCTTTGCTGGTTTCTTGCTCATTGTTTGCAGGTCATTGAGGCTCATCAGAAGTTTCTTCCCAAAGTTTATAATCTCATAGCAACTGGCCTGGGCTGTCAATTTGTTGACCCGGTCCAGCATTCGTTCCACATTTGCCGCCTCGTTCATGTTAGCAGCTTGAACGGTTTCCAACCTCTTGACTCTGTCTTGATAGATCTTCTTCAACTCCTGCTTCAGTTTCTTTTCCTCCTGTCTAATCTTTGCAACCTCAGTATCTGCCTTCATGGCAATTTTGCTGTTGGTCTCAGCAAACTCCGCTTTTATTTTCTTGAGGGATTCCTGTGCCTTCTCTGCAGCATCTCTGAATCTCTTTGTGATTAGTTCAGTTGCCACCGCTGTCTTGGATATGTCTTTTTTGGTTTTGTCAGATGCCTGAAACAGGTCGGTGAGAGAATGTTCAGAGCTTTTGTGATCTTCTATGAAGCAGGTTGAGCATATCATCTGCTGGCAAGGGCAACAGTAGAGTGTGAGGGTTTGGTCCAGATGCTTTTTGCATTTGGGAACATGTTCCCTCTGCCTACTCTTGTAGATCACTTCCCCAGAGCGAAGCTCGTCTAGTGAGCAGATTTTGTGCGATTTGGTCATGGAAAGACGGGAGTGGGCTTTTTCACATTGGTGGCACAGAAAACTATCGCAATCAAAGCATCTGGACATAGCGTCGCTACTTTCATCACAGGCTTGGCAAGTGATCCCTGACCCTTGACCCTTGACCTTTAGCTGCTCCTGTAGTTTTGCCTCCTCCACCAAAGCCCCCAATGTGAAGTAGTGAGGTAGCTCATCGATGTCACTGACATGACAGTCTTGCTTGCATGACGGACATGGTAGTTTGGGAATGGAAGCCTTGTGCTGCTCTCTCAACGCCTTGAGGCATTTCAAGCAAAAATGGTGCAAACAGTCCAACAGCTTGGGTTCCTCGACGAGGTGCTTACACATGGGACACTGCAAATAGTCCTGGCTCACTTGATCCAAAACAGACAGGGCCGGCCTTGTAGGTTCCCCCATTGCTGACTGTCACAACCACACAGAAAATGTCACAAAATTAAAGTACCATCCTGAAAGAGAGAAACACACAAAATGTCAAATTAATATCTCTATGCTCTAAAACATACTTACATTTTGGATTTAAACTACAAATGACGGACTGTACCTTTAAACTTCCACTTTTGCCAGTTGTGAACACAACATGCACACGTTGCCAGATCAATGCCATCTCTGTGTATTTAGGGCCGTTGACAATACAGGAACAAAATCATTTGAAAGCAGTAAAGCCTCTTATGTGCTGTATGTCAAAGGGTTGAAAATTTCTAGGATGTGTTGCTTGCAGCACATTTTATGTTTGGTCAGTTCAAGTACCGTTGCACATGTGACATGTCAGTATTGTCTACTTCTGTTGACATACATCAAACTGGCATCATGCATAATGGCTGGATAATGCTGTACATGCATACTCGTACATGTATATGTATAATGCCATATAGGCATTTTAACGCCCTGTTACAGATTGCGAAAGCAATGTTTTGGTCTCTTTGTTTTTTGTATGGTTTTGTTTGGTTTTGGGTTTGGCTTTTTGTTTTGTGTTTTGACCACTGATTATTGAAATATTGTGCTCTGTTTCTGTTTCAGAATGATGAGGTTTTTGAAGTTAGACCAGAAAAATTTAACCAGTTCTCCATCGTTTTCAGTCAGATACGGTGTATTGGGTATGTGAAACATATGCCCCTCATTAAGGCCAGTTCATGAATATGTGAGAGATTCAAGACTGAAAATCTGTGGTTTAACAGAAAAATCAATACATGTAATGTAAAAGAAATGAACAGTCCAACTGTGGGACAATGTGGAAGCAGGGCATGTGTGTGTCTCAAGTGTGTGTATCAAGTGTGGGTACCAAGTGTGGGT